TTTTTTGGAATTAGTATTATCAGACTTGGTCTATATTATGAATGATTTCTTTTCAACGCATGTTCTGCATGTAACTTTACATTGAAGTGTATATAATTGTATGTATAACTGACAGCTAACATATCAAATCATATAATACAACTGACATGTAAATCAACTGACAACATATATCGGAAGTGTATCAGTTCATATACTTAACATATACATATTTCATCTGACATGTAATTCTGCTAACATATCAACTTATTTATGGGAAGTGTAACAGACTAAATACTTAACATATACATAATATATACATATGATGTGTAATTAATAATGGTACAGCCAATTGATATCTAATATATCTAGTAGACAAAGTTTGTAGAATGGTATGCATACACAACAATTAACAAATAACACATGGCTAATTCTTAAAGAAATAAAATATCACATGGCTAATTTCTAAAAAATCATACCAAACAATAACACATGGATAATTTCTAATAACATTACATGTATTATGTAATTTAAAGAGATCAAATACACATAAGTACGTTTAAACTATTAGTAAAGGATAAAATCCATTCGGGTTCTTGAATACATACAGTAAATACCTAAGATTTTTTGGGGTTCCGACAAGTTTTTACATTATGCCCTTTCTCATTACATTTACTGCATCTATTCTTAGATCTATGCTCCCATCCCGATTTTATTCGCTGTTTTCGGGGACGTCCCGCACGGGCTCTTGAATCTGGTGGATGTACTCGACCTGCCGTTGGAATTGTGTCACATATGAATGGTAGGCTTCCTTCTATTGGCATTACAGCTTCATCATATGTACTCAACATAGTTGATGTTAAGTAATGAGATGAACAAAATGGGACAGGATCCAAATGTAGTGATTTTATCACACGAATAGCATGCGGACAAGGGAGTTCCTCTATTTGAAACCGACGGCACGAGCAAGTCTTAGCGTCTATATCAACCACAAACGATTTACCATCAGCTACCACCTTGTACACACTGTCACTAGCTTTCTGAACCTGTATAGAAAATTAAAAAAATAATAATAAAATTAATTAAATAAAAATTTTAATATATATTTGCTATATATACAGTATATATTTAGTATATATACAGTATATATTTGGTATATTAATGGTATATATACAGTATATATTTGGTATATATACAGTATATAAAAAATTTACTCCACTTACAGAGAATCTCGCTGATGCTTTGTAATTACTTTCCAACATATTATGAGGCTTCTTTGCAAGTGTAGTAAAAGTGGACTTTGCTTCATCTCTATTTGCTGCATTCCACCGTTGTTGCATGTTTTTAGAGCTTCTAATAGTGTTGTTATTGGGAGCTCACGTAGAGATCTAATGGCAGAATTTATGGTTTCAGCTGCGTTAGATGTCATGGTGAAGTACCTGTTATTGGGACTGTGAACCCTTGCCCACTTGTGTATGCCAATTGTTTCTAGATGTGTTACCACAGACGGGTTCAACTTCTTCAATTGTGACCAATACTTATCAAATTCCTCTAATGTATAAGCTCTTGCTGCTGCATTGAAAGCCTCCTTAACTGATTCAGCTTCGGTCTTAAAATGCATCTTAAGGTTGTTTGATATGTGATACGTACATAGACAATGCGCAGCTGTAGGGAAAACCTATACAAATAACATATTGGCACTTAATAATATTCATCTCAAAATAAAGTACAACAGTTTTTCAAATATATACATAATATATACGAAACATATACTACAAAAATACATTTACCTTGGCTACAGCATGTTTTATGGATTCATGACCGTCTGAAACGATGCACAACCCATCTCTCTCACTAATATCTGATTTTAATTTTGTAAAGAACCAAGTGTACGCACGATTATTTTCCGAGTCAACAATGCTAAACGCAAGTG